TCCTTTTTCTCTCTTCAAATGAAATTATGCAGCATGTGTTTGTTCTTTCTCATAGAGTTGGGCTAGATAATTAAGGCCCAAATATATTCCTCACTACACAGTAATAATTATTAGCTCTCGTTGGGCTCATAGTAAAATATGAGCTCGTTAAACATTCCAGTTTTGGCAGCCAAATCTAAAAACGCTACTAAGTGAAGCAAAAGCGCTAACCCTAAAATAATTGCAAAGTTTGATCAGACGATTTATTGAACAGTTGACGAATCTTCGTCACTTTTAGAGATCTTTGTCCTTTGATCCCTCGTGACCTGACACGGACAGCAGACGCCCATGAAAATCAATTTTTCACAAACATTTTCTCTCTCTTAGATATCTCTGTATAAAGCTCAACTTTTCGTTGAAGGTATGCATTTTGTTTTGTTCAATTTTGTGTAATTGTTGTATTTCCTTTTCCGATTTTTCCTTTTTTATGTCAAGCTTCCGTCGATTGTCCTTGGTTATATATGTAGGTTTTTGATTTTAGGAATTTCCACAAGGGATTTGATTGTTTTCGTTCATACCGGGCACGTCAGCTGATTTGCCCTAGACGGGTTTTATGAATTTTTGTTGTTTTTCGACTTTTTGTGAGGTTTGAACTCCCTGTTTCACCTGAATTGAATTTTTTTTTTTTTTTTTTNATGATTTGAACATAATAATTAGTGAACTGAATGGTAAAAGTATATTTTGCAGTGTAACTTTGTCGATTTTGTACACTATGCAACCTGAACTGGATGCTTCTTTTGGGCACAAACAACTTGAACTATGCAGATTTTTTTCATCCATTTTTCCACCATTGTGAAGGACTAGACGTGTAAAGAGTAAGCAATGTGGTACTTTTTGTGGATAATTGAAACAAATTATAAGTCCCCATTTTCTGCAATGTCTAAATGATAAAAAGGGATTCGATTTTGTGAAAACGGTGAAGGTTTTGGCCTTTTAGGTTCGTTTTGGTTGCTTTCAAACAGAGGTGCTTTTGTTTTAAGTCTATCCTTTGTTTTCCTTTTGCAGATCAAGGGAAATTTTCTCATCATGGTGAATGCAATCAAAGGACTGTACATTGCGTGGTATAAACATAATACGTTATTACGTAGTGAAGTTAGAATTTCCTGTCTGATAGTGATGGTAATTTTATTATTTTCACCTTCATACATTTTAATCTATTAGAGAGCTGTTAAACTTTGAAGTCAGATCAATCTCTGAGATCCTACACCATGTTGCATATTCAAGAATCATGAATAGGTTTCATTAACTTTCTTATTCAATTTAACTAGCTGAAAAGGAAAGGAAAGAGAAAGACTAACACCATCTCGTTATTTGAAACTACAAGTTTATTCTACACCCATGCTTCTACTTTTGCAAATTGTAAACTAAACAAATAGTTAGCATCGACTTTGATATTGACAGTTAATCCTTTCTTAAGATCGTTAAAAGAAATGGTCAAAAGAATTTCCTTTTTCTTATAAAATATAAAAAGTCTCGATTTCTGTACAGTGACATCCCCATGGCCCAGTTCATCATCAACATGAATGCTGCATTGCCTCAGTCACAGAAGTTTATAATACACGTGCTGGATACCACTCGTATTATCGTGCGCACGGATATGGCTGGTCAAATCAGAAGTGCTATTGCAACCTTCAGAGAACAGAACACGTACGAAAAGCCCTCTTAATAGTTAATTCTCACCACTGGATATTTTATGCTGCTGTGTGGATTGTCATCAATCCTAGTTAAGGTTCAAGATTGTTGGACAAAATTTGTAAGTGAACATATGTTTGCTTAATCCAACACACCTAGACTGAGGTTATTTGAAACTAGCTATCAAGTGTGCTTAACAGAAGGGGATTTATGTGGCTCAAGAGTCGAGAGTTTGTCTGATAAATTATTGAAGGAAGTTGATTTTACTAGTGCAGGATAAATTCTATTTGGAAATGCTCTTCAAGCATTGGAAGAAGATAATGTAAGAGGATTTCATGGCTTGATTTTTTTTAAAATCTTAATAGATAGTAGAAGAAATATCAAATATGTGGAAAGGAAGAAAAAACACGTCTTAGATACGAATATACGTACTATTTTCCAAAGTCAAAGTATCGATCATTCATGTTTTGAGGTTTGAGTTTGACAATCATCCCCAACCTTTGTGTAGATCTCCTTCATCGGCTCAAACCGTATGTTTTGTTTCTCAAATTTTTGTTTAGTTTTGCTGAAGTTTTGAATCAAAATTACTGTTGCTGTTTGTTTTCTTTTCTTTTTCAAGGTGTGGGTTGTTGAAAGTTGAAACTGGGAAGTGCTGCAAAAATTTTATCAGTTAGATATTTTTTAAGTTTTGCTTTAGTTTTTGGTTGCCTTTAAATTTGGGTAATGCCAATTTATGATCCATACTGAAACCATCTTTTGGGTTAAGCAAAACTAAAAGCATGCGTACATATTGTCCTCGTTTTTAACAAATTCCACGTATTTTCATAATAAAATGTCAAACATATTTCAATGTTAGCAGAAATATGACATTTTATAATATAATAAATTGATTTGTCCAACGGTTAAAACGACGCACAACAAAACATTGTAAATTATAAACAAGGCCCTGATTGTTTATAAGATATTGGGTCACTTTTGACTATATATATATATATACAGCCGGCCCAAGTTTGTTTACTAATCCTATACGAAGTATTGAAAACATAAAAAAAAAAGAATTGGATGATCAAAAGATATAATACACAAAAGCATAGTCATGGGCATAACACATTGAGTATTTTCCTTTTACAGAATCGAAAAGCATCTATATGTAAATAGATGCATTTAATTCTGTTAAGGATTTGACTACAAAATATCAGTTTTTAGGTAGGTTTTTTTAACCTTGCAAATTTCAAATTTGTACACAAAAGAAGCATCCATTCTTCATGTTTTTCTAGTTCAAAAGTCAAAAGCTTGATGTGTCGAGCCAAAAGTCAAAAGCTGTAGGTGTCGAGGCGTCAATCCATTTTGGGTCGACTTTTCTTTGAAGGGCTGGCAGGTAGATCTTTATGTGTTTCAAGATTGAACTGACTTGGTTTTGGTGAAGCTTGTTTTGATGGTGTGGCAGTTGTGATTGAGGAGGAGGCTATTGGTTGGGTTTCAAAGTTGATGCGCTTTTTAACAAGTGGTTCTGAACTTCCGATGGTTGGATCTTTCTCAATTTTCATGGCAACGGACTGGAGCACATTTTTGAGTGTTGGGGTGAAGAGTTGTTTTTCGACAACCTGTTTCATAAAATAGAAGAGTTATTGTAGGTCATTGATAAAATATGAATGTGAAGAACTACAAATTGCCATTGTAGTATATTGCACCTGGGCTGATGATGAACTGGCTGTGTCTTTTTTGGAGAGTTGTTCTTCATGCATATTCTTCTCGGTGTTCATGTGGTCAGCGGTATAAAGCTTTAGAATTGTATGATAACCAGACTCAGTATACTTAATGAAACAGACAACGCTGTGCTTTTCTATCACTGCTTCAATTTCACCTTTTATGTTTTGGCCCTGCACAATCAAAGTATATTGATTACAATCAGTTTAAGTTAGTGTAAAGTTTTATAGCAGAAGCCAATCTATTATATAAAGTCAAATGTTTTAGGTATACATAAAAGGAATGTAAATGTATAAACACATTATGTGGTGTACAGTAGGAAGTGAAGATATTTAATAACTAATGTGTTATGGTAATGACTAATACTTATATATCACTTTTATCATTAAAAAAGTTCAGCAAGAAGAATACTAACATTTTTCTCTGCTTCATACAAATCATTCCCGCTGAACGGGATAATTCTTTCTGCATCAGTCCCATAGATTATTGCGTATATTGTTCCTGTTTCATCTTTAATTTCCATTGGAATCCGACACCTATTATTTTAAAAAACAAAAATTATGTAGTAGACTACCATGTAAGATTATAGTGGTTCATTGTAATAATAGTATTTTGGTATTATGAAAACTACGTACCTTGCTTCAACGTAAGTATCCGCCTGGCAGCTTCGACATTTCATTGCTGTGTTTGGTGGCATATTGTAATTCTTGCGGCAGTTGCCGCACGTGGCTGCCCATAAGGATTTGGCGTCGCTTGCGAGCTTCATTTTTCCGCTGACCCAACAAGTCTTCGTCTGAAGCAGATATTGAGAGTATATAGACTTAAGCCTTTCAATTTTATCTTCAGCATATAATAATTTAAGCATCTAATAATTCAAGCAGTTGGATAAGTATTTACATTTTATATACTACAATGAATAATCATCAAGCAAAAATGATTGGATCAAACATGTTTTTTTTCTCTGAGTTTAGTGGCAATTATGAAATTGGAAAAAAAAAAATCTATTATCTAGTGAGACTTCTTCATTGATTGCATTACTGGATTTAAAATGCATATACAATTTACAGAGCATTTGAGACGACAAATAGTAATAAAAAATCTGTAATTTTTTTTTCACTTGTCAATAGTGTGCTCTTCGAAAAGATATTAACTTTAAATAATTAACTGTATAAGCAAATCTATTTATCCTATTGTGAAGAATTACAATGCCACTAATAAGTGTTGTTTCAAAAAATTTAGCTATATATCAGAAAACAGTAATTACTACCCAAAAAGCATGACTGGCATAACCGTAATCTACCTTTTAGTTGTTTGATATAAATAGAAAATATAATCTTTTTTTCACTGTGGTATTTTTTTTAATGGGTTAGGTGTTAATATATACAAAATCAAGAGAGTGGAGTAAATATATCAGGCCTCACTGTAAATGCAATATTATGTATGTTTTACTAAATTTATCATTTATAACGTTTAGATTTGAGATCTTACATATTTGAGGGACTTCACTGCTTCCTGCACAGTAATTATATCAGTGCTTTCAGGCCATGGGTATAATTTGTCTGTGTCTTTATATGCTCCTTCATCAACAAGTTTTGCAACACTGTCTTTGTTCTGAATATACCTGTAATGTAGTTTTGCTTACATAAATAGATATACATGTAAATTTATAGGTTTATATGAGAATTAAGGTTAGAACATACCACTGTTTCAGATCGGCTGCGGCAGGTATAAGTGGATTGACCATCAAGCAAGTCCCAACTTTAGTCGACAACGACAATCCTTGATGGCACAAAAGTTGGTTTAAGTAAATGCTGTATCTAAGTAATTTTTTTTTTTTTTTAACACTATTTATCTAAATCATACCATGGAATGTGGTGACTCGGCTTCTCATAGCTAGAACAACGTTAACTGATGCAATTGTATTAGTCAGCGTTTCACCATCATCTTTCTCGAACTGATTCCATAGTGTAAGAATCATTGGTTTCATTCTGCAGAACAATAAAATGATGAATTAAAGAATGAGATACATGCATATATTTTGTTTGTACTTGATTTAGTTAAATCTGTTGCTTACTCTTCGTTGATGACGATCAGTTCACGTGTTGTGTTAGTACCAACAGTCCTTTTTGGAAAAGCATGAACAATAACTGCAAGCAAGTCTGTAGATAATTTGCAAATTTAGGAATTGTCAGTTTAACTTACCTAGAAATATTTTTTTTAATATTCTTAAATGAAGTATATAAAATACTCACTTCTGGGATTCTCCGTATCTGCATATTTGTGTAAATTTGCAAATTGATGAATTTCAATTGAGCACGGAAGTTGTGGAGGCATGGGTTCTTCATAGTCTTCAACATTGGTACCTTTAACCAGAGTCCATTTGTACTTGTAATCACCAACCTGATACAGTGGTATCTCTGGACGTACTTTTGCTCCGGAAACATAATATCTTTTGTATGGCATGAGCAACGGTGGCATAAATTCGTCAATGACATTGTTGTAAACAACGGCAGCTACTTTTGTGCCCTGTTATGCAATGGTAATAATTAGTAGTATTTAAGTAAATGATTATTATGTTAAATTAAGAAAGGGAATATGTTGAGTAATTGTTTACCTCTTCATCTGTGAATAAGTATCTGCGATAATGCATTGTCGAATCATTTTTGCTTTGGTGAACGGGTGGCCTCTCAACAACTTGGATAAGTGCAGTCCAGTTGTTGGTGGCTTCTGTAATCTCTTTAATCGGTAGATATATCCTCGACATTGTCACCTGTAGAAATTTGTAATAGAAGGCAGATGCAGTTAGCAAAATTATTCGGTATTTAATATAATTTCATTTTTGCAGAAATGATATTATGTTTTTGAAATGAAATAAAAATGTATTTAAGTACATTGTATTACTGAAGCTGCCTCAAGAACTTCATTGTATACCACGTTTTTCGTTATATCAAATTCTTGTGGGCTGAAAAAAGGTGGTTTGATTACAAACTTAATGGCCGATGATTGTTTTGCACGAGATAACGCTACATATAGTTGGCCATGTGAAAAAACTGGTTCCCTTAAATAAATACCGACTGATTCTAGTGTTTGACCTTGAGCTTTATTAATAGTCATAGCAAAACACAGTCTAATAGGGAATTGCGTTCTTGTGTAAGCCACAGGCATTTGGTCATCATCGGAAGGTTTTAATGGAATTCTATGAATAAAAACATTTTTCCCTTTGAAGTCTCCAACAGCTATTTGTGCATGGATAATGTTTCGACTTAATTTTTTACATATGAGTCGTGTTCCATTACACAAGCCTTCCGTAGGATCTAAGTTTCGAAGTAGCATAACAGGAGCATTAACTTTTAACTGTAACTTATGAGGGGGCATTCCACCAGGGGTCAAAGAATTTATTATATCTTCATATAGACCTTTATGGATAGGATTAACCACTTCATCAAAACTGAGATATTCAACCATTTCACCTGGAAAATCATTTATTAATTTATTATTTATGTCGTCGACAAAACAATTTTTAGTAGATAAGATTGCTCTATTCATTTGAAAATTGGGAGTTGTGTCATTCTGGTCATTGATATTGTCTGCATTTTGTACAGAATTAGTTTGAAAATTAGGATATATTCTAGCAATTAGTTGGTCCAGAGCATCTTCTGTATTAGCATTAGTTAATATAAGCGAGGGAGGTAAACGAACTGAATTGTTATTACATGTGGGTTCTACGCCATTCCCTATTCGTAACAAATATTCAGTAAATGAAGGGTCAAATCGAGCTCTCATATTTTCTATTAGTCGAATTTTTTCTAGTAATGGCCAGATATAGGAATTTGTAATGCATGCATTTATGGTGTCATGTTTATTTCCCTTGCGAACCACAGGTAAAATTTGTCTAAAATCGCCGCCAAAAACAATAACTTTACCACCAAATAGTTCAGGTGAGTCTGTTAAATCTTTCAGCATACGATCAAGTGCTTCTATTGATGTTTTTTTAGCCATTGGTGCTTCATCCCATACAATTAGCTTGCTTTCACGTATTAAGTTTGCTAAGTTACTTTGTTTGCTAATTTTACATGAATTTCCCTTTGATATATCTATTGGTATTTTAAAGCGCGAGTGCGCTGTTCTACCACCTGGTAGTATTGAAGCCGCGATACCTGAAGTAGCTGTTGCTAAGGCTATGTATCCTTTCGATCTAATATCAGCCAATAAAGCTCTGTATAGAAAAGTTTTTCCCGTACCACCTGGGCCATCAATAAAAAAGGCTCCTGGTTTTTCACTATACACACGCTCCAATATGATCGTAAAAGCTTGTTTCTGCTCTTTGTTAAGTAATGATATAGCATTTAAATCTTCTTCACAAACAATAATATTTCTTTCAGCGATTATTTCTCTATTATCTTCTTCAATATGTAAGGTCAAATTATCTGGCAAAATGTTAAATGAATGAATACTTCTTCCCATTGATTCTAAAAAATCATTTATTTGCTGGAAAACTTTTTTTTTAATATCTATGGTACTTAAGTTTGAGTTCCTCGAAAAATCTTCAGACATAGCTTCTTCGAATTTATAAAATAAATCTCTAGGGTTGTTAGGACATGAATAAACAAGTAAGTTAGCAAATAGTCTTCTCATTTCATATGGCATTTTAAAGACTGCAGCTTCTTTCAGACATTGTTCTTGTGTGTTATCATCTTGTAATAAGCCTCTTAAAAGAGCAGCTTCATGATTTGACTCGGCAATTTTTCCATTAAAAGATCTGATATCTTCGAAGGATTTCGGGCATTTAACATGAAGTAAAAGAAGTTTAAGATAATACCTGTCGCCCTCGTTAGGATGCACAGTTACTATTCGGCCTATTGAATCTCTTTCACTTCTCTTTTTCCATTTTTTTTCTTCAGTTAGCCAAACGAAGTATTCAGGAAATTTTACGTACGGTAAATTTAGTTCTTGTGCATATTCATCTGTTCTATTCATATAGAAAAATTCTGTAAGCATAGTTCTATGATTTTTTGGGTTATTAATTATTCTTTCTAATCTATCTTTTTTCTTATAATTGATTGTTTGATAGTTTTCTAAATGGACTGGTAAATTAATAACTGCAGGCTTTATTTCGCTAATTGGAAATCTGAAAATCCTCCATGCAGCTTCTGGTGGAGAAACCCAACGTGCAGTTCTATATTGTTCTATTTCATCTATCTGTATATTTTGGTTAGATGTATCTATATGAAATGCAATTTTGTCGTGGCCTTTACAAATATATTTATAAATGTATTTCACAGCTCGTATGGTGGAACAAATCTCTACGTTAATATGACAATTAAACTTTGCAAGTAAATATGGGTTATATGGAACCACCCATCTATTATCTAACATATGGCCTCTAACTTTGACTGTAATATTATTATTTGAACGTTGATACTTTGGATATGAATTACTTATCTGTAAAGTTCGGTCCGAAAATTGTTTTGGATAGTTAAACCTACATTTATTTTTTTTGTTCATGCAAGAATTATTTTCATTCAATTCTCCACAAGGTCCATGCATCATATGTTTCTTGACCATATTGTATAAATGTGGAGTTAACTGTTTATTCGGTATTTCAGCGCTAACTATTTTGTCGAATTCTTCAGGTCTATACATTTTGTCCTTGTTTGCTAGTATGATTAACATATGAGCATGTGGGAGACCTCTTTTTTGGAATTCTATTACATATGTATAAGCAACGACTTCTCCAAAGATGTGTTTTTTTAGAATATCTTTTTTTAATTCTTCAAGCTTGGCATGAAAAACTCTAGCTACTAAATCTGGCCGATTCTGAGTTTCTTCGTTCTGTTTCAAGATTTCTTTTATTTCAGGCCAATTAGGATTACATGTCATAGTTAAAAAGATGTCGGGTTTTCCAAATCTTTGCACCAATGTCATTGCATCTAAGTATCTTTTTTTCATATTTCTCGGTCCCCCTATAAAACCGGCTGGTAAAAAAATTCTTTGCCCAATTTTTGATGCGTTTGTTTCTCCTGCATTTAGGCTGTCTTCAATCCCTTGCAAAAATTCTTGTCTAATTTCAGTTTGTTGATTCTTGAAAAAGTCTAATCTTTGTGATTCAATTTTGACATATATATCTACTATATATTGCTGAAACAATCTTCCAAAATTTAACAAACAAGACCCATCATTATCTCTTATTTGTAATTTGTACGCATAGTAATCCCTCATCGAAACAAAATTTCGACTCCCGTGCGTGCTAAGATTCACTGTAAGCAGAATATATTATATATGTTAGACTTATCTTATTTAAGTAATTACTTTTGTATGTATTTATATATTAACAGTTGAAGTTGTAGGTATTTGTTTATGAACTTACCATTTTCTGCTTCAATTAACTCTTCAGCAGATTCCATATGTGAAGGCGAAATGAGAGGCAGTGATGTAGGATTTCGTGATCTTTTTTTTGAAACAGTGGCTCCTAATTTTTCTATGCCTTGATGCCACCCAAGCTCGCCAAAAGGGAAAAGTAAAGGATACTGAAGGGGATCATAGCAACCAAAATAGTATTGTATTTTATGTGGAATGCCACTATGGTTATATATTCTTATATTTCTTTCGGATGGTTCTTGATTTTCTTCAGTATCAAGCCATAATGCAGCTACTTGAGAAGTTTGTGGTTTGTTGTAAACTCTTTGATCAACTTCAGGAAGAGTCTTCAAAATGATTTTATAATCATCAAAATTTGTTATCTCATTAAGGGTTCTGAAAAATTTGGCGTATGGATTGTCTCTAAGAACATACATAACCTTTTCAATTATAGACTCAGATATTCTAGGGCATGCTTTAAATCGGTTGGCAATTTCATGCTCGGTATCATGAAAATATAGCTGTAAATTTTCTGATGCTTCTAAATCATTCAAGAAATGATACATTTGGCCTTGTATCTTGAAAGTATAAATTCCTTTATTACGTTGCGTTAAATTTTTATCGCATTTCACTCCCAAAGATGTAAATGCAAATTGATTATTAATAGTTCTTATACAATCTCTAAATAATTTGGATTCCTCTGTCGCTGAAAATAAAAGTTCTTTAAGAACATCTGGTGTTGAGTTATTTGCCAGTCTTATATTGCCATCCGAACAACAAAATTTACTTGTTTCGTATTGAAATTTGAGGGCACCACAATAAGGACATTTTTTACTTTTAGTTAATTTAAAAGGCTCAGCGGCAATGTCATCCAGAATCTCTTGGCACATTTTTTTATGTTTACCTATAATTAAAATGCAAATGCAAAAATTTAGTTTTTCTTGAGCATGTAAACTCTGTAAGTTTTTTAAGTGATTTGAAAATGACTATGAAAAATGAACTGTACCTGTAGATTGGGATGTTTTAGTACTTGGGCAACCTGTTGTAGGTATGTTATCATTAGACCATAAATCTATGCACTAAAGTAATATCCAATTAAATTTATTTAAGAAACTTTAAAATTTAAATGGAAACTATTACCTGTAGGTTGTGAAGAAGATGGTGTATTTTCATTAACCATATGGAAATTGTGTAAATTAGTGCCGCTTTGAATTGAAGTTTCTATCGTATATGAATTACTTTTGTTTGCATTTGAAGGGTGCTTTTCCAAGTGAATACTTTTATATGTTGTAAGGGGTTCACTGTGAGTACCATTACAATCGGCATCTTTAATTTGAGATGGATGCTTATGAGTAAATGACTGTTTATTTCTCTTAGCTCTCCATTTTTTAGTAGCGCTTGACCTATATATTTCGCTAGGAGATGGCAAGGAAGATTTAGAATAATTTGAAAACTGCAACAGTGTTCCATTGGGTATGTGCAAATCAAAGATTACTTGCGCATGGCTTGAAGAAGGCTCCACTACATGTTGTTTTTCTTGGTTGGTAGGTTTGCTTAATTTATCAGTATGTATTTCTTTGTTCATATTCAATGAGTTGTTCTTGAAAGTGAGCTGGTCATTCTGATGAGATGAAAATATAGGCTCAATTGTTAATGCTGCACGTTTTTTTTTGTTTTTCCATTTTTCAATTGCTACTTGTTGATATCTTTTCCTAGAATCCATAGGGTCGGTATTGCTATTCCCTGTAAAGGAATTATCTAAGTTCGATATGTTCAGTACACTATATGTTCAGCCTTAGAAACTTTAAAGAACAGACTATTAGACAAATTAACTATAATAAAGCAAAAATATTAGTAGAGATAAGAGGAGTGTATATAAATACGGGAGAGATACGGGAGAGGTATCAGTGATTTTTTTTTTAATGGAAAGGTACTATATATTAATCTATATTGCCTACTATTCTAATTTTTTATGCAAGCAGTACACTTATTAGGTTCTTAATACCTAAGTCAAACAACAGCAAGATGCAAGTACTATATATTAATCTATATTGCCTACTATTCTAATTTTTTATGCAAGCAGTACACTTATTAGGTTCTTAATACCTAAGTCAAACAACAGCAAGATGCATTAACTTACTTCATTAAATTGTTACGACATAGAACCATTTATAAATTATATAGTTAGGATATTTTGAACTATTTAAATAAGAACAAATGTTAGACAAATATAAGGATAAATAAAAACTGTTGCTATAATATTTGACTACACATATTTAGCATCAATAAACTTACTAAACATAAACAGTAAAAAAATTATCAAACATTAATGATGAGATGACCACTTGAATAAATACAATAAGCAAAGTATTTGTGAGGAACAATACACTGACCTGATAGCAATAACTAAAGTAATCTTTCTTTTCACTGTACCTTCTAGAATCAAAAGTTCCTTGAGTAACTGTCCCAAGCTGAAAGAGTATCAGTTTAACCTGCAAAAGAGTTAATAAATTTCATTGTTCATTATAAGCAAACCACATAAATAAGTAACATAAGTCAGAGAAAATTAATTTGATGGTTCAAATCATATTTTAAAGAGCCTTGGAAACAACTATTCTTCAACAAAAATTATCTATGCATATAAAGAGTTCTGAAAATACATTAATGCAGTAATATTCTTTTACACAAAGACATAGACAATGAAATAAATGTTGTCTGATACCACCTAAATAAGGTTGCACTCTGAATAATAAGAAGTTGGTTAGTTTACCCTTATAGACAGGCCATTCTATTGAATTAGCAATTGGTGAGTTTAAAGAGACATCTGTTACTATCTATATATTAAATATGTTGGTCTGCATAATTTTGAACATTTGTTGTTCTGCCTCATACAATTCAGTTCAAGTGAAAGGGATTAGCCTTTTGCCATCAGAACCGTATAGCATTGCGTGCATGCATCCCATTCCACTCGATACTTTCATGTTCGGCACATTTATTTATATACATATATGGGCCAGAATATAGTTATAGAAAAATATTTGTAAGTCATACAATAGCAACAAATTACTGCAGTAAGTAGCTATTACTTAATCAAAGTTCATTATGTACATATATGCATTAACACAACAAATAAACAAAAGTTCTTATGCATAACAGTAAAATCTATATATATTATTTAGGTATAAGAAAATGTAAAGAGTATTCTATTACCTTGTAGCTACAGGAACTCAAACCTATGAACTCCACCAGAACCAAACCAAGAGTTTGAAGGAACCAAATAGAGGAATACCTTCAAAACAACAATGACAAAAACAAAGAATTAGAGTTAGCCAAAGTATGTTAACCCAAAATCTTGCAAAAAGTAAATACCATTCATCTGCACACAGAAAAAAACACAGGATCTACAGCCTAAACAAATACTTTTACATTGTTACAGAGATTATAATAATATTTAACTTTATCAAAAGGCAAACAGATAAATTTGAGCACTTTCTTTAAGAACCTGTACAAAATAATCACTACCAAATGCAAAACTGAAAGAGAATAATATAGCATGTGTAGGTTCTTAATACATCAGAATCTATAACCACAAAAAATGACTATATAGTTTCATATAGGTATAAATTGCAGAGATTATCCTTCTGTAAACAAACAAAATATATTATTTTGTGCTCTACAAACTGAACAAATAAATCAACCATATATTGAAAAGCCAATAACTAACAGCAAATATTTATTTAGTAGGTAGTTGTTATTGTTATTTGCAGTAGATCTCTTCTGATTTGCCAAGAAGAACGGGAAGAACAAATAGTAACATACCACTTCTTAATAGCAGAGGAAACTTTTCTTGCTTGTACAATGGAAAAGTGATATAGAATCTGCTAGATATACACCGCTTGAGGTGTATTATATTATTAATAATCATACACATGACATAATTTGTAAAGTAAACATCAAATCAAGATGGTGAGGGCAAGAATCCAACGGTCCAAAAGGAACCAACATACCCATACACCATACCCAAGAATGAAAAATCCAGGCTAAAGCTGCAAAGAAATCTTTGATAGACATTAGCCTGATCTTATTGGCAAATATTTTAATAAAATGCCACTTGAAAGCATCGAAACACTCCTGATGACATATATCTGACCAAAGACTACAACAAATAATTTTTTTTATATATAATTCTTCATCATACATGTGAAATCATTACATATAAGGGGAAAAAAAAATCCAAGACACTAAGAATAGTTGATTAAACTGTAGAGGCATCACAAATAAAAATAGCCCAAACCAACTCAAAAATTAAGCGGACCTCCACAACGGAAATCCAACAAAAATTACACCGTGAATAAAAATTGTAAAAAAATAAATTAACTTTCCTGAATTTGCATCTTCATTAACACCTATTGTGTAACAGCACACCAAATTTCCTTATGAGCTGCAGTATAAGAAACAAATATTAGAAAATGTAAATCCTAGAGAAATGTGTGAGATCTTTTAGGTTAATTTGATGCAATTTCGATCAAAAGAATATGCAAATTACTCCTCACGAATGATGAAATTAAAAGGGCACAAGAAATTTTGGGCAAAAAAAAAAAAAAAGATGTAGAATAACACCTTTAATACACAAGCAAAAAAAGCAAGCAAGCCGTTACAGCAAATGCTTTGCCAAACAAAACCGGACTAATTTGCCAAAAACGACGACAAAAGATGCACCGAAAGCGCTGGCTGAGAACGGCAATCCCAATGGAAGCATCTGTAAACAATGTTGCCCATAGAAATAAAATGAAATTGAGTTCCCTAGCGTATAACACGAACTGAAAATACGATGTGTCAAAATGTGTAAAAACGTCGTCGTATGCAAATGAAAAAAACAAACGCGTCGTTTTAAGAGTATCAAATAACCTCTTCAAAGAAAGCTCCACGCGTCAAATTAAGGAAGCATGAATCCAACATTTTTTTAATAGCAATAATACACGTGTCAAGTAAAGGTACAAACTAACTTCTTTTTATTAATAAGAGTATAAGATATGCATATTTACGTGTTCACCCATCGCACTACAATTTGTATTTTTGGAATATTTAGTTTGTTTTGGACTGAGTTAAAAGTATTTACATATTATAGAATGCCAATGGTGCAAGATTTATCAAAAATATGTGTTTGTTTTTAAGTTTGTGCATTTGGATGTTTTTATTTTCAATGTCTTATGGACCATATCAGTTGGATACCATTTCCTTTTACTACTTACTGAATTATCAAATGGCTGTTGATTTATTAAAAAATATTGAAAAAAAAAATGTTTGGTCATATGGGCTTATTTTAGCCCGACTCAATTACTTTGCATGCCAATGTGGGTTAGCCCCGGCTTGGCCCAATTGTTATACTACAAAGACTAGGTAATATAAACCCTTAAAATAAGTCTACAATTTATCTATATAAATAGAGCTGTTAAACAAATTGAGCAGCTCGTTGGTTCGGCTTTGTTCAACTCATTAAAGTTTGAATTCGACTCAAATTGTTTGATGAACGAGTCGAATGGAAACTTATTTAACAACTTGTTTGTTTTCATGAAGACTCGTTTTCGAGAAATAGGAGTTTTCAAAGTAGATTCATGAATTATAACTTTAACTTGACTTGTTAAATGTGATAAACGAATCGAGATTTACCTCATTGATGGATTAGTTAAACAAGCCACCTCGAGTCAACTCAGTAAAAACTCTAGCTCAAACTCCAGTATTAGAGACATCATATTGAATGCCAGACAAGTGGACAATGTTCAATAACTTCCAAAAATCAAATAATTATTACTAATAAAATAAATATTAGAGCCCTGAGGGCCCACTCAAAAGCTCCTGCACAGCTTTTCGAGGGAGAGACGTCTTTATGGGCTTGGGCCCTAAATACGTGCTATGAGGAAAATTCCAAGACCCAAAGTTGTTGAACTAAAGAACACCTTTTGTATCTTAATGGGCTCCACATTGTTGGTTAGCCCGTCCTTTTTACAAGGAGGGCCTATTGCTGCTTTAACTAGGTCACTATACAGGTAAAATATTTATTTATTTATTTATTTATTTTTATTTTTATTTTAAGTTTTTTGCTTTACCACTCATATTATTATTCGTATTAAAATGCACGAAGATTCGTAATTTGCACATCTACTGCATCTTAATCATATA